GTCCTCCTGTTAAACGATCATGGGATTGACGCAGCACAACTTCCCATAACTTTCTTGGTACGACTGTTTGCCAGGTCATCACTTTCCCATCTGCAGTTCCCATCTTTGGAGAAGAATACCATTTTCAAGCTTCAACGGGTCCCATTGTGCCCAATAGTTCTTTGTCACAGGGTTTAAGCTAGACACTTTCTTTAAAGCGGGGCGCAAAACACTTGCTTTTAGAAAATCAATTATTGGCTTCAAATCTTGATCTTACTCCTGCTCTGCATTAATATCTATACCTGGTTCCACTCCACCATCATCAACTTCTTCAGTCACTTTGACTTAAGCTTGATGGCACCTGGTTAGTTCAACCTCTCTTTTAACACTTATTGGAATTTGGCCTTTGTTGTTCCCAAACGTCATTTTATCAAAATTAATTACACACTTCCTTGTACAAATTCTTTCCTAGAAACTTCTGCGATACAAGTCCTTTCTTAAATAAAACTAGTTTATTCTTTCTCAATTCAACTTTGCAATACACTTAATTTCCACAGTCACCTTCACTTAAACACACGCTATAATTCACAACGACTCACGCACTTTACTTCCGGTCACTACCGCTCACTTCACCCGATTAACTGTGTCTATATCTTCAATTTCTCTATCTGCTGATCCAGTTCCGATTAATCCCCTCCCGCTTTGATTGTCGGGCTAATATATTAGAATACAGCAAGTCTGGCAAACACTCGACCCTTCACGAACCTTCTAGATACTCATTACGTGCTACCAGCGTCACGTGACTTCCGCTGTCGTAACAGTACATAAAAATTAAATACACTCCCATTGAAATGTCAAAAAAAGGAAATATATAATGAATTTTGTTAGATTCTTTGCCAGCCATTTACTGAAAATGGCAAATAAAGTAATACATATAATAATAATAAAATAATACATACAACGTATGAAATTATTTTTGTATATAAAGTTCATGAATATTATGGAAATACAAGTTTTGATGTCTCATTTATACTAAAATAAATCTGTTTCATTAATTTTTTACACATGCTTTTTTTTGGGATATTATAAAAAAGCAATCTTATTGTTTTGAAAGAATGTTAAATAATCATTTTGTTTTGTTTTTCTAGTTGTGCAACTGTTCTGGGTGAGAAGAATCAGTATTTCGGACACAATTATCTCATTAAATGTTAGAGATGAAGCTTATTAGCTTTCACTAATTTTTCTAAAACTTTAAAAATTATTTTTATGATTGACTAAAAAAAATGTAAATATGTTCCTCATAACCTAGTTATTTGTTTCAGATTTTCATAGAAAAAGTCAGTTTTTGTTTTGTTTTACCTATTATTAGTGATCATAATATATTTCTTTGCTTCTTAATAAAATTTAGAAATACACCAGTTTACAGAATTATCTATGCTACTAAACATTTGCTTTAATCTGAAAATAAAAATTATTATAATCACTTAATTAAAGAATAATAAAACTATTTGAACATGAAAATCTGTATTAAAAGCTGCATTTGTACCTTATTTGGTTTTTGAATTTTTTATGTTCAATTTGCTTTCAACATTCTTAACTTTTATTTTTTCACCCATTGTCTTCTTTATGTTTAGTCTCAAATAAAAAAAATAGAGTGTAAAATAAATCAGTATTTTTCAAACATTGTTAGTGAAATTTAATTTTTCTAATTTGCAAATTATCTAAAAAAACATTCTTGTATATTTTTTCTGTTCTATAATAGTAACAAATCAAGAGCAGGAAGTTTGTAGATTTAAGGCATTCACTAATATTAGACCTCTCTGAAAAAAATAAACTTTATTACATACTTTTGTCCTAACCTTTCTGTTAGCTTATGTACAGTACTGACCATTCTAGCCTTTTTATATGGATATGGAATGAGCTACTAGATTTCATTTTTATAAGAAGTTTATTTTTTTAGATCTGACAACTGATACACATCACTTGTTTTTAGAAGTTATTTATCATTTGACTACTAAAATTGTTCATGTTTAAACCATAAGTCAGTTATGAAATACTTTGCTGATAGTTTATTATTAGTAAATGTCAGCATTTTTGTTTCTTTATAAGGTAAGTATTTGCAGTTTTTATTTTATCCATTAAAATATTTGTAATATATCAACCCATGAAAATGTATGATAAATGTCTCTTCAAAGTTTTTAACAACATTAATATTACAATTTTTAATTAATATATTTAGACTGAATCAAAATATGGATCACATTACCTGCTGGCAATAAGCATTATATTTTGTACACAAAATGTTTTCAAAGTTTGTAATCTTTGACTTTATATTAGGCTTTTGTCAGTTTGAAAATATTTTTTAGAAAATGGCTTTAACTAATTCATACATTGTTTTTGTTATTGATGTAACAAAGAAAAAGTTATAAAAAAAACTTTATCATTCTTCAAATTTAACATAAGATATATTGTTGATTGTACAATTGGCAGCTCTTTAACCTTTGACATCAAGTTTTAGAAGGAAACAGTTTCCTAGGGGTGTAATATGTGTTTTCATTTCTAACATTCTCATATATATATATATATAAATTAAATGCTTTAGCTTAATTAATATTTAAAATATAAATATCTCCTTAAACAATTATTTAAAAACATTTGCTAAAACCAAAATTTTTATTTTAGTATTATTTGTGAAAATATATAATAAAACAAGCATTTCTACGAAACATTGTGCCTTATGTTGTTGAACAGAAACGTTTATGTAATATGTGTATTACTATATACACAGCGTGGTTACAAGTAAATAGACACCACATTTTCAGAAAAAATGAAAATTTTCAGTCATGTTCACATGAATTGATATATTTCTAATTTAATTAATATCTAGTAGATCTTCCTTTCGCTTCGTGGAGTTCGTTAATCCTTTGGGGCATCGTGAGAATCATCTCGTCAATTTTAGATTGTGGGATTTTCGCCCACTCTTGCTTCAAAACTTGGAGTAGATCGCTCTTCTGAGTTGGTTTTTTTAGTTGTTTCTTGACTTGCCGGTCGAGTATGGCCCAGAGGTTTTCAATGGGGTTCATGTCAGGAGATTGGCTCCGCCAGAGCAACTTCTGGATACCATTTTCTTCCTGCCACTTTTGGGTGTTTTTAGCAGTGAGACACGGTGCTCCATCTTCCTGGAACAACGTTGTGTTCTTGTCCACGAAATCCGAGGAATAAAGTGGCAAGAGTCCTTCCTCCAGTATTTCGACGTATTTCGCAAAACTTATGTTGCCAACGCACTCCACTAAGCTCGATCTCCCACCAACCCAAACAGCTCCCTAAACCATCACGCTGAAACCACCATGCTTCACAGTTGGCTG